GTTTACTCGCGCGCAGGTGGTCTCAAATTGCAACAAGATTACCTGGAAGAACAGATAATGAAATTAAGAATCTGTGGAACTCTTCTATTAAGAAAAAGCTAAGACAACGAGGTATTGATCCAAATACTCACAAGCCACTTTCTGAGGTTGAAAACGAAGAGAAAGCGTCGGCAAACAGTAATAATAAGAACAGTGACAGAGTTTCTGAAAGCTCAAATAATGATCAGCTCAATTTTGTTGAGGCTGCTCATGAGAATGTATTTTCAACAGAAAAGCCAAAGCCATATTCAATGACAATTATGGACCGTTATCCATTTATTGAAACCAATAATATTGCCCCACCAACTCATGAATTCTTCACCACCAATTGCAAGTCTCCTGATTTTGCTAATTATCTCTCCTTTCAACACTTGAATAATTATACTCCCAATACAAATATTATCTTCAATAAGAACTCTGCTGACATGGTATCTGATCAGTTCAATTGTAGCCTTTCTCCTATGTCGAATTCTATTCTCAATACATCCCCGTTGGCACGTATAAAGCCGGCTTCTTTAACTACTCTTCCTCCTGATAGTAGTTTTAATATCAACAAGTTCCAGAATTGGGAAGCTTGTACTATCAGCAGCAACAGTAATGGTAGCAGTAACAGTATTGAATTACAAAGCAACTGTTCATTCTTTGATAACAATGCTGCGGCTTTCGCATGGGGATCAACAACAGCAGATGGTAGTGGGAAACCAGAGAGAGAAGAAATCAAATGGTCTGAGTATTTGCAAACCCCATTTTCACTAGGTTCTAACACAATCCAGAATCATCAAATTTCGTCTCAACATCAAGCTGACTTATACAACGAAACAAAATCCGAGACACAGTTCGTGACACAAGGTTCATTGAATTTGAGTACTACTACAACATGGATTCAAAACCAACCGCAACAATCTTCTCTACAAACTGCAAACTTATACAATAGTAACAATTTTCAGAGGCTTCCCGCCGCCTTTGGACAATTTTCTTAGCCTATTTTCACAGGCTAGTCTCCCTTATCATGGACGGTTACTTACCTACAGGTGTGTGTAATAGAGTTTTTCTTATTAATCTGTAAATAGGTCTTACACGTATTTCCTTCCTTTGTCTCAACACTGGATATTCTTGATAAAATATTGAAAATTTGTTGATCATCATTTTGTGTATGGTAAGTATATGATAGTATACGTACTTTAATTTTTTTTCCTATCGTGCTTTCTAGATCTTTATATTTCCAGGTTGTAATTGTGTTTGTTGATTAATTACGCATTCAATCGAAAAGCTTTACGACTTTTCTAGTTTTTACCGTTGTAACCACTTAAGTGTTCCTATTCAAACCTAAAATGAATCCTTTAAAGATAGCGACTATCTGTAAGATAGCCTAAATGGGTGTCTATCCTTGTCTCGTACAGATGGAGATAGTTTTTACTTTTGACTGTCTTTAAGTCAATTCCAGTCTCTTTAGCTAATCTGTGATGAAGACAACTTACTAGTTTATATATTGATGGGATATTCTATTAACCATGCGGTTTAGACGTAGTATTGTGTTTTATTTTTTATGGAATAATTATTTATTTGACTTATTCAATTCAATAAAATACTATTTTAAATAGATCACTTGTTATATGTGTCCTTTAGTTATGTAGTAGACAATTTAGTATATGGAGTATTAGCTCATGCACATAAGATAAAATTGCCGGTTCTCATAATTAATAAACTATGTTCACAATCGAAGATATAATTGGGCAAAACATCTTGATGATTGTAGCACAAGATTAAAGTATAATTTGTCTTGATTATGGGAGTGGTTATACTCCGATTTCTTGTGTTAGTATACTTAGTGTATATTGAACGGACCAAGTAGAGAAAAGATATTTTTGTACTGAATATATATAAAATATTTTCTCTAATTCATTAAATGAGCTTATACTCCTAATCTTGATATATTTATTATGATCAATGTGATTTGTTTATTATTTTGATTTATCAAAAGGTACAACTCTATTCAGAGTTAGTGTATGCCTAATAGATTGGACAATAACGAATAACATTTGTGAAATAATAATTAGTTGCTAGAATCCATGACTCAGTTTTGAGTTTGATGATATCGCTTTATGTAAGCTTATAAATTTTCATGTGAAAACCCGGCCGGTGAATTTTGTATCTGTCACATGAAATAGTTTAAGCGGAATTATAAAGAATTTAATTAGTTGATTAAATTAAATTATCAGTTATTTAATGTAATTAACTAGTATTTGTGATCTTAACATGGGGAGTTAAAATAAGTGTTAGTGAATTTTTGAAATTCATATTGAGGAGTTTAATTGCAGTTTTTAGTGGAATAAACTGTAATTAATTATAGTAAGAATTAATTCATGCAAATTTTTGAATTAATATTATAATTGGTAGCCTCTTATTGTTTACGTGGTCCCTGCTATACCTAGTAAAAATTTGGACTGACTTGGGAGAAAAGTCATCCTTGAGAGTTAGAGTAGAATTCTACTTGAACAAGCAGAATCCTACACGTTTTTGGAGCCCTCTTTTGGCTGAAAAAATGAGTCTACTTAAGCAAGACATTTTTCACCAATAACACACCTTTTAGAGTTGTATTGTTCTTGCCCACTCAAAGCAATTTTGTCCAAGGTCTTACTAGGACCATAACAGAAGACTGCAGCCCTGGATTCTTGCTATGTGGAGGACATGTGCAACATTTTCAAGAGGTTAGTGTTTTTAATTTTCAAATTATATCATTGTCTATTTTACATATTTGTTATGTCTGGATTATATGCTTGCTTCCGCTGCGCACGTTCTAACATATATACCATGAAAAAATATTAAAGATCTTGGAAACATCAAGTTAAACTTATAATTACATGCAAAAATATATAGTACTCTGCCCTCTTCATGATATATGACACTTTTTTATATGATCTAAAATGATTGATACATTTCTATATTTAAAAACTCTAAATTGAATTTCTCATTTTACCCTTATTAACATACTATTAAATATCATAGAAGTATTATCATGTGTTGAGGACAACAAGTTGTAAGGGTAAATTTGCTATGTGCCAAAAGTTTATTGTTTTCTAGACTCATGCCCAGTCAAATATTGGCATTTAAAAAGTAACACATGGAATACTTTCCACGGGGAAAAGAAAATGGGGAAGGGTGAAAACCCTCGCAAATTGTAGGGTAAATGTAAAATTGACGAAACTTATTGCATTTGCTAGCTAAGAGTTATATATATATATATATATATATATAAAAGCTATTTAATTAGTCAAAGAGGGAGGATTAAAGTAGTGTGAAAAATATATAATTTCAATGTCCTATTATATCCTTGAGTGAGTTTCAAGCACTAGTGAGAATCAAGAAAATTTCCAACTCAAATCTTTGGGAGGTGAAAGATATCCATCTAATTGCTTAATGACTTGGAAAGCCACAATGAAGATGCAGTTTGGAGAGTATGGACACTAATGATACATCCTCGATGGGAACTTGACTTTATCTACTTCTGGGAACAGGAGAAAGAAATTAAACTAAATTAAAAGGGGTCCCTCCCCTATGATAGAAACAGATACTCTACATCAAGCTGACTCAAACTGATAAATAGAGTTAAAGAGAAAAAATTTCCATATCTTTCTTACAACATAAGAGATATGCTAGAGTGGAAAACAGTAAAAGAGAGGAAAACTCCTCCTGATCAAGTGAAGTTTTCTAAAAGAGACAGCATCTGCTTCTGCTGAAAAAAAGCTATATACCTTTGGTTCTCTCTAAGTTCTGATTTTTTCCATTAGAAGCCCCAGTTTTCACTTATAGCAAATGGGCCAACTTTGCATGTGAGAAATAGCTACATATATCAGTCTTTCATATTCAAACATTCACTATCACCATAAAACTCCATCAATTAAAAGTTTTCTCATGGGATGTACTCAACAAAGGGTCCCTCCCTAAACTTTTTAACTATAGTTTTTCCATGTTTTACATAATATTCATGTACTAGCTAGTCATCTAACACCTGTACCTAGGAAGCTGACAAGTAATATATCTTCATGTATAGAAATAATAAAAAGAAAAAAGAAACAAATACCACAATAATTTGTAGATGAAAAAAATTATTTTCAATCATGAATAGCTTAAGGATTTTGAAAGAATAAAAAAAGAGACCCATATCTATATATACGTATATATATATGAATCAACGACATGAACATGTATGGTAGGGCCTTGAACCAGAGTCTCCTTCCCACGTGCATCCAACGAAAAATTATGCAAACTCCCCAGTATTAATTGAATTGTTTTTTTTCTCTGCCCTTTTGTACTCTATTTTTTAACAAAGAATTCATACGTAGAAAGCATTGTCTAAGCAAGGGGTACTAGTATATTTTGGGGCTCTCTTTGAATGCATGTGAACCTAATTATTGAGTTCCTTTTCTTGGCCCTACGTTCTTTCTTCTACACAGAACAGAACAAATATAAAGGAATTGACAACTTATAATATATCAGCCCAAACAGGAAAGATGTGATGGTCAGAAGAAGTTAACATTGCAAAGCTTTAATTCTTGTCAAGAACTTAAAACACAAAGTAAAAAAGGGGAAATAAAAAAGAAAAAGAATAGGAACTATATGTTGACATATATACTAATAGACTAGTAGGAAGAAAATTAGCAAAACAATGATGAAGGTGATAATTGGGGACTGTGACAATGATGATAAAGGTAATAAAATAATGTCCAATATAGTAATATTTTGAGATTCTAGAATTTTATTGGAAAGGAAGATGTCAAAGTTATTTAATAATATAAGTATGAACCTGAAAAAATGTACAAGCTTATAATTAAAGAACTTGAGGTGCTGGGGACGGGAGCAGAAGTAGTTCTGGCAGTTAAAGACGGTAATTCAATCCAAAAGGGAACAATATTTTTATTACTACTCTCTTTTTTTAATTATTATCTGAGTCTTCCACAACCTGAAAAGATTGTTATTATCAAAAAAGAGCAGAAAAGTAGTGTTGTTTTCAAAAAATAATACTTTTACATTGTTCTATTGAGTTTAATTTGTATACACTATTGTAAAATAATTTTTATAATATCATATCGCATAAAAAGATAACTCCATACCCTATAATAAATAGAAGAAATTTCCTGCAAATTAAGGTAGGAAGACTATATATACCAATATTGTAAAATTTATTTACACTGTATGCAAATAAGTTAAATTCATTCTTCTTTTTCATTTAAGCACACTGACGGTCACAAGTGCCGACATTCTTTTCCCATTCCTAATTTCAAATTTCCCACATACCATCCTTGAAAATCGAAAAGAACCCATGAGGGGAGCGGTGGACACAACACTAAACATTAATAGAGTACTAGATTAGATCTTCAAAGGTTGACTAGACAAAAATGTCAGAATATCTCGAGAGAGACTTGGAGAAGAAGAATCGAGAAGAAGCTCTGCGGGGAAAGAAAATATTTTCTCATAACTGATTAATCAACTATACACTGTTTATATATAACTAACACTGAGAAGGTCCTCTAACTTCTACTGTGTACAAATAAGCCCCTCAACTAAGTAACCACTAACTAACTATATTATTACGATACTCCCCCTCATGCTGGAGGTTGAGGATATACAGCATACCTAGCTTGTCCAACAGAAAATTGTGTTGCGTAGCAGTCAACTCCTTTGTGAGTAAGTCTGCCTGTTGATGTGAAGTATGAACATACTGAGTAGCTAGTAACCCCTGCTTTATCTTCTCACAAATGAAGTGGCAATCGATTTCGATATTTGGTGCGTTCATGGAAAATGGGATTTGCAGCAATCTGCATTGCAACTCTATTATCACAACATAAGTTAACTGGCTGCTGAATGATAACTCCAAGCTCAGCAAACAAGCCTAGAAACCAAGTGATCTCTATGGCTGCTTAGGCCATACTCCTGTACTCTGCCTCTCCACTACTTCTTGAAACAGTGTGTTATTTTTTTGACTTCCAAGAGATAAGAGAGCTGCCAAACTTGATCAAATAACCACTAACTGACCTTCTAGTAAAAGGGCAGACACCTCAATCTGAATTACAGAACCCAAGTAGAGACTGTGCAGATTGCCTCTTCAGCAGAACACCAACGCCAGGTGCATTCTTAAGATACCTAACAACCCTAGTAGCTGCATCCATGTGAGACTTCTTTGGAGCCTACATGAAT